GCAACGGTCGTCACACTTGGCGGGAGAGCTGGGTGAGGTGCGGCGCACGTCGTGTGTGGAGCCGCGAACAGGGGCAACTAATCGAAAGCCGATCGATGATGGGGAAAACGTTATATTGTTTTCCATCATCCATTATAATAAACTTAGTCGATTTAGGTGTTGCAGCCCTAATCGTGTATACTAATAATTTTGACTTTTTTTTTATAAAGCGCCCTCAGCGCCATCTAGGGTAATAACTTTTGTGTTTCCGTGCAGAGGCCAGATGCCGGCTGAGGCCGAAATAAATTACCTAAATAAGGCGAAGTGGCTGGAGATGTACGGGGTGGACATGCACATCGTGAAGGTGAGACGCTGAATGAGAGAAGCCAGAAGTGTGCCAACTATTGTCATGTACGGAAAGTTTCCAGCAGCCCATCAGATCTCTGACTTGTACATATTGGGGGAGAGGATATCATGGGAGGGGTCACCTTATAATCTAATGAGGTACTGGCAGCATGGGGTAAAGTTAGTGCCCATAAGGAGCTCATTTCTTACCCCAAAGAACATTAAACCTCCCAGTTCTGCCCACTTTAGAACTGCCCCAATGATCCAATACGTAGAGTCTTCAAGAAAAAAATGTCAGCACCACTGTGAACCTTAAAGGAGAACTATGAGGGGGGGGGGGGGGCTTTTCACTCACCTCATAGTTCTAGCCGACCTGTGACAATGAGACTCACAGGTCGGCTCAGTAGATCGGGAGGTGAGCGAACACATACCGGTGTTCGCTCACCTCTCGATCCTGTCACTGCTCTCTGCCGTGACAGGGGAGGGGCTGGATTCCCCCTCCCCGCTCCAAACCGCCAGCGCTGACTAGTGGATCGGACTGGGGAGGGGGGCGGGTACAGAGCCCGCTGTCAGTCACGCAGCAGGGCGGATCCAGACATCGATGTCGGGATCCGCACCGGCTGCGGCGTCACAGTATACCGCGAGCTGTAGCTTGCGGTATACTGAGCCTAGGGTGACGGGAGGACGCTAGTTTGTGTCCTCCCGTTACCCTAAGGAGAACTATGGGGAAAAGCCCAGATCCCATAGTTCCCCTTTAAAGATTTCACATTATAAATGCAGCGGCAACCATGTCTCAAGCCATAGAAAATCCGACTTGATACAATGTATGTCTTCTGTGAAGGTTCTCATTCATTCGGGTCATGGGTGTATCTTTTTAAAATTAAATCAAAGCAACTGGACTTGATGTATTTTTCTTGAAGACTTTTCGCTGGTCATCCGACTTGCTTTCTGAATTGAGAATGAAAACTATTCGGAGCACCAGCAAAACTTCTTCAAGCAAAATACAATTCCAGATGCTTTTGTATCATATCTGAAAAAATAAATCAATGTAACTTTCCATGTGTTCATACACTATATTGCCAAAAGTAACGCACATGAACTCTCATGGCCTCCCCGTCTTAGTCCATTTGAGTCTTCCTCAGGCCAGAGACGGCAATGATTATCAGCTCGGACTGACCCCCACCGGGGTTCTGGTATTTGAAGGAGAAACAAAGATCGGATTGTTTTTCTGGTGAGTTTTAGTCATTGGTGGGTTTTGTCTCGCTGTCTCCGGGGATTATGGGATTACACGCTGTTGCCTGGCCAGTCGCTGGTCTCTTTAGGTTCTTCTGCCAGAGCCTGGACTACAGGTACCAGCATGCCCTGAGAAATATAATTTCAATGATTTTCTTTTACAAATTGTTCAGTGTTCTGTCAGAGGTCATTAGAGGTTCTTTGGGCTGTGGCTGACTGACCTTTCATTTGTTGCTGTCTGTATGATGTTGGGGCCAAAAGGCAATTGGCAGAACCAGTGGAACCAGTGCCACTACACCAGTTCTCTTAACGGTCTGTAAAATGTGCATTCTTCCCACTGACCCCCAATGTAAGGGGCATTCTTCCCACTGACCCCCCAATGTAAGGGGCATTCTTCCCACTGACGCCCAATGTAAGGGGCATTCTTCCCACTGACGCCCAATGTAAGGGGCATTCTTCCCACTGACGCCCAATGTAAGGGGCATTCTTCCCACTGACCCCCCAATGTAAGGGGCATTCTTCCCACTGACCCCCCAATGTAAGGTGCATTCTACCCACTGACCCCCAATGTAAGGGGCTTTTTTCCCTCTGATCCCTAATGAATTAATATTAGCGGTTATTCCCTGAGACCTGAAAGTTTTTTTTTATTTTTACCCCCTATAGGGGTAAAAATGTTGAGATAGGCCCTGGAAGAATGTGATTAGGTAATGTGCCTCATTCTAGGCAATATTTCTGTATTAAAAAGTTAGATACATTTCTTTTAACTAGAAAGTGACAGGATTTCCTTTTTAAAATTCACGAGCCTAAGCCTGGAACTCCTTCTATATCGGGGGGAGTCATCAGAATCCGTATTTTCCTTGGAGGAATATTCTAGTCCTGCACTCGTGAGTAGATCCTCGGAGTCTCAGTGTTGGGACTACTGTTCCTCGCATGCCCTGACCTCCCTATGTTGTAAGTAGTCCCGGCATACTAAAACCTCTCCACTAGGGGGCAGTGCAGTCTCTGCGTGTCTCATAGGACAGACGTCATTCTTCATTGTCGGGTCACAATGTAACAAATGATCTTAAACAAGAAAAATATGAATGATTTCCTGGAGCGATCTTCAGTGCCCCGTGACTCACAGATCTGATCTACAAATAATGTGGGAGGACGATCAATCTCGCAGCATTGTGAGGAAGTGCTGCCTGCGGGCACGGTTTCGGGGATGTTCTGCGCTCTGATTGGTTGTGCCGTGATTAGTCATAATCCAGGTATGTGGACAGAGGAGGGGGAGTGATCACCAAAGCTTCTGTCCCGGGTGCTGAGAAATGTTACGCCCAGATAACAAGAGTGATGATACTCCGTGTAATATAGTCTCATGTTTATCATTTCCCAGTGTTCTGCATATCTGTATATCTGAGAAGTGTGACCGGCCGCTCCTTGCCGACATAAAATCAATTGCTCACAGGGGTTGCCTGTTTTTTAATCAGTCTGAATCGACTGGTAGACTTTCATTCAGAGTTATGAGCAGCAAAGTGGAGTCGCCGTGTAATGCAACAAGTACTATGGAGTACAGAGACTGTAGAGAATAAAGCCGTCCTTGTATATTATACTAGAACTCCACTTTGGGATTATAAATTATCTTTGCACCAGTGGGGGTACCGGGTCCAATTGTTTTACAACTCCATGCTCCCCATGAGAGGCACCTTCATGTACTCTCCTCTGGTCAGAACTTCCAGATGCATGACATTGAGCTTCAGCAGCTGCCAACTGTCAATTTAATGCCCCCCCCCGTAATTCTTGGTACTACAGGGGTGATCATGCAGCCGCCACAACCTCTGGCCTTCACCCATACACCATGGTGGCCATGCCTACAGCAGCTTGAACCACATAGACTTCTGTGACTTGTAGTCCTTGCATTGCCTCTGCCTTTCCACTGGCATACCACAGGAAGGAGGATGGGACTGGATCGTCATGTGACTGCTGCATTGCATCCCCAAAAATGTAGGACAAATAAAGAGTGCCCGTGGGGTCGGGGGAGGCGCCTGGGGAAAATTCTTTCCTTGATGACTGGAGTTCTGCATTCTTAAGTGAGCATCCAGAGAAGCGAGCTCAGAATGAACATGGTGCATGTAACTTTTTTTTTTTTTTTATTCCCGGCTCCTGCGTACTGATTTACGTTTTAACGTTTTGCCTTCCAGGCCGAAGATCACTCGTCTGGACTTTAGGAAGACCAAACTGACGCTGGTGGTGATCGAGGATGACGATCAGGTGAGAGTTTGTTACTCCCTGCGTCCTGGGTGTATGTGTAGGAGTGAGCGATGGCGGAGGTGCCGATCCAGGAAGTTTCCCCCCGTTGCAGTATCCGGTCTGTAGTCCGGGGGGAGAAAAGTCTTATTTTGGATTTGTACCTGTAGGGCAAGGAGCAGGAGCACACGTTTGTATTTAAGATGGACCACCCGAAGGCCTGCAAGCACCTGTGGAAGTGCGCCGTGGAGCACCACGCCTTCTTCCGCCTCCGCGCACCGGTCCAGAAGAGCTCCAGCCGATCCGGGTTCGTCAGAGGTGTGAGGCTAATAACCCCATCCAAAGGAAAGGAAGAAATATTAATCTTTCAGCAGAGCCCTTTATGAGATCCTAAGGCACCATAAGCGGTCCTACCTGGACTAATGTTCATTTCTAGTACCTACAGTCCTTCATCCGGACTTGGCATTGATAAGTATCACAATTCCAAATTTTCTGAATGGCTCTCGGTTGTTTTGTTAATTTTTTTGTTGCACTCGCTGGTTCTGGAATGATCCAACAATATTAGGGGGGTATGCTGAAGGGGGCATGCTGAAGGGATTCTATCTCCTGGCCTGTGATCACATTGGGATCATCTATCAAGAGTCAGAAGATGGGCAAAGAGATATCTGGACAGCATGCCGATGTCTCACTCCTCTGACCTGTACAAGATGGGGATGGCAAATTTAAAGTGTAACT